CTTGATAGTCACAGACTGTTTGGCAATTTCTACATCAACTTCAAAAATCTCTCCATCAGAACTCTGCAACTTTATTGAAGGCATGGTGTTCGGGTTTGAGGAGCCGGCGGGCTGGAGGCTGACGAGAGAGGGGCGGCGTCAACGCAAAGAGAAGAGAAAGGCGGACGACAAGGCCACTACCAGGAAAAGCATTTTTAAAGTTGTTGATGGCCCAGTGTCACAGTCCTCACAGTCCTCACATTCTCAGCGTCTCACAGATCCTAATTTCTTTGCTTCTTTATGGATCTGCCAGAGCTCTTTGGCATGGCTAAATTAGACTCTCTTGATTCACTTCTTTCCAAACCTGAGGTGGTTAGTAGTTGATGGGTGTCTGGGGTGCCACATCTAGCTGTCCCGTGATCATTTACTGACAGTGAATGATTGAGACTGTAAGCATTGAAGAAAGCTTTTTAAAGGCTTTATCAGATGTGTGGTCTTGTGCCCTCCAGGGGGAGAAGGAGCGGAGAAGAGGAGAGAAGTAGAGAGGGCCAGAAGAGTGCGGACAGGGTGGGGAAGGATGGGTAGAAGTAGGAGAGCATGTGAGTAGGGTATGGAGTAGGACGGTGTGCTTGTGCTTGTGGTTTCTTTTACAGTGGAACGAGGTTTCCTATTTCTAACCAAAGTTTTCTTGGGAGTTCCTGTACCTGTCTTTTACTTCTTGCACCTCTGTTGCTTGTGTATATTGTTTGAGAATACTTAAACTCTCTAGTTGGCTGATTGGAAAAGGTTGGTTTGTTTTATAATGCACTGAGTGGGGGGCCTGCGTTTTGGCATAGTGGGTAGAGCTGCGACCTGCAACACTGGCATTCCATGAAAGTTCCCATCCAGCTCTCTGCTGGTAGCCTGGGAAAGCAGAGGAGGATGGCCCAAGTGCTTGGGCCCCTGTACCCAATGGGAGGCCCTGAAGAAGCTCCTGGCTCCTGGCTCCTGGCTGCTGATTCCTGGCTTTGGCCTGGCCCAGCCCTGGCTGTTGCAGCCATTTGAGGAGTGAACCAGCAGATGGAAAAATCTCTCTCTTTCTCCCTATGTGTGTGTGTCTTTCTCTATAACTCTGACTTTCAAATAAATAAAAATAAATCTTAAAAATTCACTGAGGATTCCTCTCTTTCACTAGAGAAACACCATGGATCATTGTGATTACATTTGTACAGTTTAATACCTAGACATGATTGAAATTTTAAGGTATTATTTCTTGTAATAATGGATATTCATTATAGAAAAATTAGAAAATGTAGAAGAAAAGGAAAGATAGCTAAAATTCATCCATAATCTTATAAGCTATAGCTACCTACTGTTAATATTTTGGTATATAAACATTCACATTTTTGATGTATATGAAAAGCAGGTTGGGGGGGTTGGGGAGAGATCAAGATGTTCCATTCACTTGTCCATTTCAGGTCAAGGCCAGTAACCAGGAACTCCACTGGGTCTCCCACATGGGAGTTATGTTAAATGTTAAATATTTTGGACATCTTATGTTAGCAAATGTGCACCTACACACCATTATTTCTTAATGAAAAAAAAAAAAAAAAAAACCAAAACTTTGTTTTTGGGGCCAGCGCTGTGGCACAATGGGTTAAAGCTGCAGCCTGCAGTGCCAGCATTCCATATGGGCGCCGGTTCGAGTTCCAGCTGCTCGGCTTCCGATCCAACTCTCTGCTATGGCCTGGGAAAGCAGTAGAAGATGGCCCAAATCCTTGGGCCCCTGCACCTAGGTGGGAGACCCAGAAGAAGCTCCTGGCTCCTCCTGGCTTTGGATCAGCACAGCTCTGGCTTTGGATCAGCCATCTGGGGAGTGAACCAGCAGATGGAAGGCGCCTCTCTCTGTCTCTATATCTCTCTGTAGCTGTGTCTTTCAAATAAAATAAATCTTTAAAAAAAAAAAAAACCTTTGTTTTTGAGATTATATAGATCAGGGTGTTTTTTTTTTTAAATCAATCTCTTTGTGAAACAAAGTGAAAATCGCACATAATCCCATCCCCTAAAGATAAATAGTGTATAGCCTTCCATGTTGTTTTCTGTATATGTGCAAACGTGTTATTGTATTTTATAAAACACCATCATATACACCTGCTTCCTGCTGCTCACAGTTACACTTACTGCTCAATCTTCCTGGGCCTGCTCGTGACTTCCAGGCTGTAGTTCTGCATCTACAGCACTGTTGACATTCTGGGCCTGATCCATTTTTTTTCCTGGGACCATCTTGTGCCTCTCAGCATGTGTAGGAGCATCCCTGACTTCTGTCCCATAGATGCCAGTTGTACAGATGTTTCTAGACATTGCTAGTGTCTCCTTGGGGTGGGAGACAGAATTGTTCAGGTGGAATGTCAGAGCAGATGTAAGTACTAGTTTGCTTTCATTGTTCCACTGCGAAGAGTAAGGTGTGCAGTATTCTTACACTGATTGAATTTTTATAGTTGTATAAATGTTGTCATTGAGAAATTCCTAGAAGTACAGTTTCTGAAACAAAATTTTTATAGAAATTCCTAAATTCCATCAAAAAGAGTTAATTTTTTTAAAAAATGATATACTCATGATTCCAAATGTGTATCTTTCCTGAGCTCTAGATCCATATAATCAGTTGTTGATGAGACATTCTTAGGCATTTCACAGACTCTGCCCTATCCCTTGCCCCCAAACATGTACCTCTTACTGAATTACCCTGTCCAAGATTATCGACTACCATCCTCCTGGTTGCTCAAATCAGAAACCATCTCCACCCCACATGTAACCAGTCCCAAATCTTATCCAATCTTCTTCCTTAATTTTTCTCCATTTGTTTCTCTTTATCCCTCCTACTACCACTGTCTTTAATTTGAACTACTACTAACTTTGCCCAGGTGTCTGTAGGAACACTGGGACATCTGATCTTTCTGGTTTCTGGCCTTGGTCCCATTGTCCTAGGGAAGAATGTTTATACAGATCTTTCACTGCAGCTCCCCTACTGCATGCCGGCAGTAAGGCCCCTGCCTCTCCGCCAGCCCCCATGAAGCAACCGACATTCATTGCTCTTGATTTCAATTTCATATGCCCATCGAAATATGCCCCCCCAATCACTTGGCTACATAAAGAGTACATGTTAGCCGGCACCGTGGCTCAATAGGCTAATCCTCCACCTTGCGGCGCCGGCACACCGGGTTCTAGTCCCGGTTGGGGCGCCGGATTCTGTCCCAGTTGCCCCTCTTCCAGGCCAGCTCTCTGCTATGGCCAGGGAGTGCAGTGGAGGATGGCCCAGGTGCTTGGGCCCTGCACCCCATGGGAGACCAGGAAAAGCACCTGGATCCTGGCTCCTGCCATCGGATCAGCGCAGTGCGCCGGCTGCAGCGGCGGCCATTGGAGGGTGAACCAACGGCAAAGGAAGACCTTTCTCTCTCTGTCTCTCTCTCTCACTGTCCACTCTGCCTGTCAAAAAAAAAAAAAAAAAAAAAAAAAAAAAAGAGTACATGTTAAAAATGTGAATTCTTAAAATGACATTTTTAGCCAGCACCGTGGCTCAATAGGCTAATCCTCCGCCTAGCGGCGCCGGCACAGCCAGATTCTGTCCCGGTTGCCCCTCTTCCAGGCCAGCTCTCTGCTATGGCCCAAGTCCTTGGGCCCTGCACCCGCATGGGAGACCAGGATAAGTACCTGGCTCCTGCCATCAGATCAGCGCGGTGCACCGGCCGCAGCGTGCCAGCCCCAACAGCCATTGGAGGGTGAACCAATGGCAAAGGAAGACCTTTCTCTCTGTCTCTCTCTCTTACTGTCCACTCTGCCTGTCCAAAAAAAAAAAGACATTTTTACTCTAAATTTTTTTTTTGGTCAGAAAAGAGTGGTTTATCAGGTCACATGTATTTCTTCCCCTGGCTCGGAATCACTCTCTACCTTGAATGTCCTCTCGCCCCTCTGCATTTCCTGTTCATTTCAGCCCTGCCTTCTACCCATCCACTTGCTGCTCTTTCTTTACTACCTGGCATATTTCTTGACACTTCAGCCACCCATTTTTCCTCTGTTTATCAGTTTATCCTTTTTGCATTTGTTTTGTGTGTACTTTGTGGGTGCTTAATGTGTACTTTTAAAATTTTGACCTCATAGAAAAGACATCCACAAATAATGCAAAGCAGTGAGCTGAAGTGAGGGTATGTGGGAACTGCACTTGAGGTTCTAGCGCTTGTATTAGGGTACACAAGCCCCCCCCCCCTTTTAAAGATTTGTTTATTTGGAAGAGTTATATATATATATAGAGAGAGAGGTCTTTATCTGCTGGTTCACTCCCCATATGGCTGATCCAAAGCCAGAGCTGTGCCGATCCAAAGCCAGGAGCCAGGAGCTTCTTCCAGGTCTCCCACGTGGGTGCAGGGGCCCAAGGACTTGGGCCATCTTCTACTGCTTTCCCAGGCCATAGCAGAGAGCTGGATCAGAAGTGGAGCAGCCAGGACTTGAACCGGCACCCATATGGGATGCCAGCACTGCAGGCAGTGGCTTTACCCACTACGCCACAGTGCTGGCCCCACAAGGCCCTTTTAATAAACCATTCCAGTGTCTGAACATTGACAATTCCCCTTCATTACACTTCTGATATTATGTGGCTCTATAAAGCAGTATAAACAAATAACTCATGAACCAGTTACACTCAGATGGCCAAAGCATTGTCTTGTCAGCCTTGCAGCATTCCATTTTAAGATTTCTTAAATCCAAGGAAACTAGGGGTAAACAAGTCCTTGGGGAATCTCTGTCATGGTATATAACAGATTGCTGTGTAAGACTGGTATCGGGACAAACCCTACAATTTTCCACAAGAAGTCAGCCCCATGCCTGTGGGAAATCACACAGAGCAAAATCCTTGGCTGAGAACCATATGTCCTCTCCCCAACACACACTCTGTATGTGGCAGTTTGGTAATGCTCTGTAATTAATTTTGTTTTTTACAGTGAACAACCACTGGCTAAGAATAATGCATAGCCTGTTTCTTGCTGTTTTAGGGGACATCACACAGAAAGGATATGAAAAGAAAAGATCCAAACTCCTGTCTCCTTACAGCCCGCAGACACAAGGTAGGCAATGAGAAATGTGTTTTTCACTTTTCCCAGTATTTTTACACCATAAATGCTGTCCATAAGAGACCTAGTTTTTGTTTGTTCCCTTTTTTCCCTTCCTTGCTCACCAAGGGAGAGAAAAAAAAAAACGGAAGGAAAGAGAAGAGGAAACGGATCCTAATTGAGCATTTGCTGTGTGTGGGCACTTTTAGAATACCTGAGGTCATCAGATTGTTTGCTCAGAGCTGAGGTGGGAGCATGTGAAAGACTGTACAACTGCGATGATTCAAGGACAGAAACAGGGAAAACCTGCAGCTGGGCTATGTAAATTTTTTGGTTTATTATTTTCATTTTTTATATGAAAGACAAAGAGATCTTTGATTGACTGATTTATTCCAAAATACCCACAGCAGCCAGGGCTGGGCCAGGCCAGAAATAGGAACCTGGGACTCAAGTACTTGGGCTGTCACCTGGTTCCTCCTAGGGTATGCATGACCAGGACCTGTGGAGGAGGCAGGACTTGAACCCAGGCACTGCACTATGGGCCGCAGTCATCCCCAAGTGCTGTCTTAATCACTGTGCCATACGCCGCACTGATGTTTCTGAAGTTACTTGGGTTTGAGGATCTCCTTTCATAACCTATTTCTGCTTTCATTGCTTTTACTATCAGGTATTAAAAAACATCTGATTTCCCCTGCAAGCTAATTGCTTTTGTTATGGGGTTGTAAATGCCATGAGGACTTTGTATCTCTCATAGTTTTCATGTTAAGCCTTGCACTGGGTTTATGGTCTGTAAATACTTGTTGAATGACTAATGAAATAAGTAACAGTGGCATACTGATATATTTCACTGAGGTCCTTGTTTTATTATTTCCTGCATTATTCTTGAAAATATAAGGGTACTTCAAAAAGTTCATGGGGAAATGAAATGAAAAGAGATGTTTATTTTGGTGTACAAAAATTTTGAAGTCCGTGTGTAATGTTCTCATAATAGTCATTGCCCACAAGCATTTTTGAAGACCCCTCTGTATGTGGATTTCAAAACTTTTCCTATCCTTTGGTATCTGTAGGAGATTCTAGGAAACCCCCCCTCCTGCTGTCCCCTTCCCCCGCAAATCAAAATCTGTGTGCTCAAGTCCCTTATGTAAAATGGCATAATATTTGCTTATAATCTACATTGTTCTTCCTGCATACTTTAAATCATCTCTAGTTTACTTATAATACCTAATAGAATGTTGTGAAAGTTGTTATTCTGTGTTGCTGAAGGAATAACGACAAGGAAAGTGAAGTGTGCACATGTTCAGTACAGACAAATTTTTCCCTCTGAATACTTCCAGCCTGTGGTTGGTTTAATCTAAATGACTGTGCAATCCACAAATGCGGAGAGCCATCTGTACCTCCCTGCAGAGACTAGTAGTCAGTCCTGGATAGCGAGTTTAAAGGATCCAAGGCAACAGAGGATGTGTAAGTGAACTGAGAGAGCAGAGGTGGCATTTGGACCAGTGACAGCTAATGAAAAGCCAGCTTTTGTTGAACAAGGCATGATGGAGTTAGGGGTGGAGGACTTGCTGCTTTAACTGTGGATCTGGCCCAAGCCTCTAGAGGCCCAGAGATTTTATTTAGACACTTTATACAAAAGCAATCAGATCTTGAGAGAGTAACTCAATAAGGAATGTAACTATAAAAAGGACTGCGTTTGTCTGTTATCTGTAGTCAGACAATACAGAAACCAAATTATGTTCAAAAACCAGTTTATGAATTTACTGTGAGAAATCTATCTGTTGTCAGCACAGTCTTGCCCCATGGGCAAACTTAACATGGGGAGCCAAGTCATAAATAGAATGTGGCTTAGTAAGTATGGATTTGACAATCACGTGTTTAATTGCAGTAGGCTGAGAGAAAGTGACATGTCCATCTGTCCGTAGGAACGGCCTTGCCCATGACCTCTCAATGGAAACAGAAGCCATTTGAACTTCCCACATCTCTGCCTGTCCTTGTTAACCTTTTTTTCTTCTGGTCAAAGCAGTTATCTGTTCTTCCAACCACAGACCTTCCACCTGTGTTTGGGGGCCCAACCCCCAGCTACTTTCAGAAACCTTGTGCTGTCCAGTGGCACAAAGGACAGGGTGGTGAGAGTGGTTGACCCTGCGTGCAGGCAATAAAGGGGTGCAGTATCTATAGAGAATGTGAAAAGCAATAACAAAAATGACCAAAAAATGGGTCTGCTTTTTTTTTTTTTTTTTTTTGAAGATTTATTTATTTGAAAGAGTTGCAGAGAAAGGTAGAGACAGAGAGAGAGGTCTTTCATCCACTGCTTCACTCCCCAGATGGCTGCAACGGCCGGAGATGTGCTGATCTAAAGCCTGGAGCCAGGAGCTTCTTCTGGGTCTCCCACGTGGGCGCAAGGACCCAAGGACTTGGGCCATCTACTGCTTTCCCAGGCTATAACAGGGAGTTGGATCAGAAGAGGAGCAGCTGGGACTAGAACCGGCGCCCATATGGGATGCTGGCACTTCAGGCTAGGGCTTTAACCTGCTGCGCCACAGCACTGGCCCTGGGTCTGCTTTTTTTAAATATTTATTTTATTTATTTGAAAGACAGTGTTACAGAGAGAGGTAGACAAAAACAGAGAGAAAGAGAGAGGTCTTCCATCTGCTTCTTCACTCCTCAAATGGCCACAGTGGCTGGAGCTGTGCCAATCAGGAGTCAGGAGCCTCTTCCGGGTCTCCTATGCAGGTGCAGGGGCCCAGGCACTTGGGCCATCCTCTACTGCTTTCCCAGGCTTACCAGCAGGGAGCTGGATCAGAAATGAAGCATCTGGGACTTAAACCGGCACCCATATTAAGTGCCAGTGCTGCAGGCCGGGGTCTTAACCCGCTGTGCCACAGCACCGGCCCCTGGTCTACTTTTTATTATTGCTATGCATAGCCTTCCTAAACACTCAGGAACCAAACACTCCTCCTGCTAAGGCAGAGAGCTGCATTGCCCTGTTGGTGTGCCATCGCTGTCAGCTCCCTGTCTCTCTTGTGCCTTGTCTTCCTTTTCAGCCAGGTTCTTCACTCAACAGTTCATCACACTCATTACTGTCCTATTTAAAAGCAAACTTCCCTTGTCAACTGCTTCTATCGCCACCCTCTTTTTTTTATAAAATAGATTTTATTTATTTAATCTGAAAGGCAGAGTTACGGAGAGAGAGAGAGAGAGGAGAGACAGAGATCCTCCACCTACTGGTTCACCGTGCCACAAATGACCACAAAGGCTTGGGCTGGGCCAGGCCAAAGACAGGAGCTGGAGCTTCCTCTGGGTCTCCCATGTGAGTGCAATGCCTCCCTTGGGCCATCCTCTGCTGCTTTTCAGGTGCATTATTAGGGAGCTGGCTCAAAAGTGAAACAGCTGGGACTCAAACCAGCCCCCATATGGGATGCTGGCACTACAGGCCATGGCCTAACCCATTATGCCACGGCGCTGGCCCCTCTCCACCCTCTTGATCAGCTGCTATAATCAAACTGCTCAGAACTGTCTGTACTCACCATATCTTTTTCCTCAGCTGCTCACTACTCAGCCTGTTTTGGTCTCTTCTGGAGCTACTGTCATTGAATATCAGTAGCATTCAAAATTATCTCAAAATGCTTCTTTTAGGGGCCAGCACTGTGGTGTAGCGGGTAAAGCCACAACCTGCAGTGCTGGCATCCTATATAGGTGCTGGTTCGAGTCCCAGCTGCAAATATTAAGAAATAAACATTTTATTTGAGGCCAGCGCTGTGGTGTAGCAAGTAAAGCCGCTGCCTGCAATGCTGGCATCTCATATGGACACGGGTTTGAGACCCAGCTGCTCCACTTCCAATCCAGCTCTCTGCTGTGGCCTGGGAAAAGCAGTAGAAGATGGCCCAAGCCCTTGGGCCCCTGCACCCGTGTGGGAGACCCGGAGGAAGCTCCTGGCTCCTGGCTTCAGATCGGCACATCTCCAACCCTTCCGGCCAATTGGGGAGTGAACCAGTAGATGGAAGACCTCTCTCTCTCTCTCTCTCTCTCTCTGCCTCTCCCTCTATCTGTGTAACTGTGACTTTCAAGTAAAATAAATAAATCTTTTTAATAAAACCATTTTATTTATAGGCACATAAAATGTATTTTTAAGTGTTGGAACTCTGCAGGCACAACCCCAATTCCTGTTGACTTCTCACTGTGCATCAGTAGTCCCACATGGCGATCTGCATCAGGAGTGCAGTGGGACTGGTTTGGGCACAGATTGCAGGGCTCTGTGATCAGGGTTTCTGATTCAGTAGTCTCAAGGCAACTTGAGAGTTTCTGTTTCCTTCATGTCCCCAAATAATGTTGCAGTTGCTGGTCTAGGAACCACACTTTGAAAAGCATTGCTTGGGGGCTGGCACTGTGGCTCAGCAGGTTAATCTGCAATTTTAGCATCCCATCTCAGTCCTGTCTGCTCTACTTCTGACCCAGCTCCCTGCTAATGTGCCTGGAAAAGCAGCACAGGATGGCCCAAGTGCTTGGGCCTCTGTACCCATGTGGGAGACCTGGAAGAAGCTCCTGGCTCCTGGCTTCAGCCTGGCATAGCTGCAGCTGTTGCAGTCATTTGAGGAGTGAACCAGCAAATGGAAGCTCTCTTGCTCGCTCGCTCTCCCTCTCTGTCTCTCTGTCTTTCTCTCTCTAAATCTACCTTTCAAATAAATAAATGTTAAAAAAAATTGCTGTCTTCTTAGATTATTTTCACCACATCTGTGGCTTTATAAAACATTTGTGTTTTGCTGTTTTTGAAAAGCTTTAATTTTTCATTTTTATTTTTAAGGGAAAGTTAGAGAAAAAGAGATTTCCTATCCATTGGTTCACTCCCCAAATGACTGCAACAGCTAGGGCTGAACCAGGTTGAAATCAAGAGCCAGAAGCTTCATCTGGGTCTCCCACATGGGTACAGAGGCCCAAGGACTTGGGCGTCTTCCGCTGCTTTTACCAGGTATGTTAGCAGAGAGCTGGATTGAAGGTGGAGCAGCCAGGACTTGTAC